AGCACGTAGCGTAGTTGTCACGATTCGACGCGTGTAATTTCTGATAAAAAATGATGGAAACGGAAGCCTGATCGAAATCCATGACGCGGAACTCACGAAACGACAACGACTAAAACCGATCCGTAAACTGGACCGCGGGACCGAATTCTCACTTCCACAGATGAGTTTTCTGGATATTGAGAGAGCGCAGGCGTGGGGTTAGCGTCCTTCAAGAATAAGAGAACTGCAACGAAACTGTATTTCATCGGGTTTTAAGAGAACTTCGCAAGTTTATTTAAATAGTCTTACACAAAGTTAACTACCGTTGACGTTTGCGTCGACGCCTGATCGACCGGTTGCTCAAAACAGCAAGCGTCCTCTTATTGCGTTCTACCATGTACATATGTAGACTACATATGCAATAAAGTGCATTGTATTAAAAAATGAACAAAAGGTATTCTCAGAACTTTTGTTGACAGAGAATGTTATTAAAGTTCTATGAAAAAAAGAGAGAAATCAGCACAGGACGTACGTAAAAAATTCCTTTTTATTTAACGTTCAGCTCTTAGAGGAACACGAGTACTTTAAATCGTTGCTTAAATCGCAGCTATTTACAGAGATTTCCCGGTCTCTTTCAATCTTAAGTCGCTGTTAACACATCCGAGGGCGGTAAGACGTCAACAGTGAAATCAGTGAACTCGCTGAATAAATGACGTTTAACGTACCACGCGCCACGTAAGCGGAGGCGTCGATATGTTACTACTTAAACAAGTTACAAGAGAATACAACCCGTGTCTTAATCAGCAATTATGTCAGCATGAAGCGTTCGCAGATGGAAAAATAAAAATTATTATCAATTATTGTTATTGAAGAGATTCAAATATTAAAAGTATAAAGCAGCTATTAACTCCGGATTTACTGTATCTTTAATTCCTACGTACGTAGGCGAAACTGATTTAGGTCGAAGTTTTTATAGAAAGGGGACGGAAACGATGAGCGGTCCCTTGACAATAAATCGTCAAACGTTCGCTTTTTATTAGAGACGGGGGTGGAACTCCACGCTTAATCTGGGCCAATATGTGCTCTCCCGATCTATGTATGTAGTGACTGACAACACTTTAACGACGAGTATGCTCCAACTGATTGTGCTACAAGCGATCATCGATTCTGCGAACAATGCATTCGAGAAGATACATTACCCAAGAGTCTATAAGCAAACATTATCAAGAAGAAAAAAATTATATCTCCTTCATTACACACACAATTATTTTATCACAGTAATTGATAAAATTTGATGAGATAAAAATAAGTAGAATCATACACAGTATCTGTGTTCACTATTTTTATTCAATCATATGCACGCTTTTGTTTACGTTCAATCTTTAATTGACTACTTGCGACTAAGTAGCATTCATTGTTACATCAACCCCCTGATGGAATTCGTCATTTTAATTAATTGCGTCTAGTAGTGGTTGATCAAGTGACCGAGTAAAGCCACTGTACCGCCACGTCCGGCGAAGGAGGCGAGGAAAAATAAAAAAAGATGAGTTAAAGAGCGGAGCGGTGCCACTTCCGATTTATTAGGGGCGCGGTGACCCGGTCTTCCCGTTCTTCCGTTCTCGGACGTTCCGTACCCAACTGCTTTCTCCCCCTTTTTACGCGGGTACGCAGCAAACGTAATTATTTTTAAAAAGGATGTAGGGACCGTGTGCGTGTGTTTTTTCATCGGGCGGAACGCGTGGTTCGGATCAGGCGTACTTCAAAGAAGATAGCGAGACGAACCAATGTTCCTGTTTTATCTTAACATCTATTCCAAATACACAGTTCTTTGATATTTCCTCCATCAACCTGTTGTCATTCATCATTTCTTAACCCATTAATTAATAAAATTACTTTCATATAGACTTACTTTAAGTATTGTACGAAAGTTACTTAAATATTTTTAAAAAATTGAATCACTGTCATTTTGTATGAATCAGCGTTCTGGTTTACAGAAATTCTTGGTATAAGTAGATACTAATATTCCGGGTTTAAGAATTTCTTAGAGTTTTAGTATTATAGCGTTTTTCCTCGTAGCGAGAAATACATGTAGTAATCATCAGTAATGTCAACCAACAGGCGAACCCGCGTCCGTGTTCGTCAATCGTCATTCACCTAAGTTGGTCCCCTCTCTCTGTCACAGCTCGGGGCCCGTATCTAGCTTGCAAGACAGTCTATCCGCGGTTACGGTAACGAACGGGTCGTTCGCTTGCCGCTCTACTCGCTCACTCTCAAACACAAACACACGTATATCTCGACAATTGATGTCCGTTCCGTGAATCCGTATCGTATGTGAAAAAGTTCTTGAGTATCTGATATCGACGACTTAGCTCGATTCTTATATTTTATTGCGTTGATTACATATCGTAGAAAATGGAACAGGAAAATGTGGCGTTCAGTGATGTTCACGCAACTTTGATCTCATGTTAAGTTTCATATCTATATTACGTTATTTCATAAATTCTATGTGGTCGATGTAATATGAATAAAAATTGTAATACGTGAATGAGCGAAAATTCGACGATCTCGTGAAACTAATTTTATTCTGCTATGTGAATCGTGCTAGAAACTTGCAATATTATTATACAATAATTAAGTACACTTGTAAACATGATTGTAATATTATTACCAAAAATCGACAAAACTTCGGCGTTCGCTTAAAATATATCTACTATTCGTTTGGAAACATTGAGACGCTCGTGAGTTGAAAACCGAAGGTTTTCCTGATGTTTCATGGATATCCTGTGGATGACCACTATGACGGATGACTCGTGAAAGGAATTAATGCGGTGAGTCAGAATGGTAACTCGTACGTTTCCCTTTTCCTTTTCGATTGTTTGGTCAACGCCGTGATTCCCACAAACCTTATCTTCCATCGGGGCGAGTATTTTTGCCAATTGAGAATTGCGTTCAGAATGCAATTACTAAGTAGCATTCAAGTGGCGAGGAGTTGTAATTGAGCGAGAGCAAATGTGTTTAAATGAAAAGAACAGCGATCGGTCTTCAAGCATGTGCGTCACTCTGAAGGACCAATGCCAAGATCGAGGTAAAAAACGTGCTCACGGGTCCTGGTATATATTACGCACACGATAAAAAGGGAAAAAAGGCTGCAACGGGCACGAAGTCACTGCACTTTTCTCCCTTTCTTGTCCCTTCTCCTTTGTCACTGTCTCCTCGCTCTTGGGCGCACGTGGTGCGTCGTAGGCGGATTTCGAACTTGCCGCGAACAATCTTCGATCATTTGTATCTCACCCGTGAATTTGCGTATTGAATCGTACGGAAATGGATGATAAATTTTGTACCACGTATCTTTAATTCCTTGTCATTTTTACTCGATCTCTTGTATCGGTTTATGTCATACACACACTCTTGTATTAGATCTTTGATGACGATTAATCTTTTCAAACTCCCGTTCATTTGCTTAATTTAATTAGTCGGCATCGAATTCCGTTGGCATGATTTTAGGCTGTCAACCTCTGTATTAACGATAATGCAAAAGTGCAAAGGGTTAATACCGTGGAGACAGCATGGCATAGTGACTTCGAAAACGAAACAGGCACTTGGTGCAATTAAGGATTCATGTCAGTTTCCGAGAAATCTAGATTGCCTGTAATTAACCACTGTCGCTGTTACGCGAAGTGCTGGCTAAAATTTTTCGTGTTCGCATCGATAATTATTATCTATTGCAATCGAAATGCTTTTTAAATGGAGGATATACAAGTAATACATATTGGTTTGTCTGTTAAATATATCTCATGATAGATTCATGCGAGCAAAACAGACTTATGTAAATTGACTTATGCAGATAAGAATTGAATTAAAAAGTATCGAGGGGACAGATGTTTTCAGCAAAAATAATATTACAACAATATTTAATTTTTCTTAATAAAGTTAATCGTTTTAACTTCTCGTTAACTGGAACTGTCAACGATATTATTTACAGTTACTCATATCCTTCTCTAAGTATGGAATTTCAGCCAATACCTATAATGTTCGACCTTGTCCTCCGTCATAAACGAAAAATTTTATACCTGCTCCTTTCCTTTCCTCCTTCCATCGTGGGACTTTTTTTTGTCGAGTTCTGAAGTGGCACAGCATTTCTTTTTCACAACTTCCAGTAATGTGTGTTGTCCTTACAATTAGTTGTTAAAGTACGTAATAATTAACGCGCGGGTGTGTGTAACACGTTTGCACCTACGTAAACACGTGCGTCGAGTCGATTACTTGAAATTGAATCGAAAAAGGATGTTATCGCTATTCTATCCATGAATGGAAACAGTGAACGCGACGCAAGCCGGTAATAAACACAATCAGCGATTTGCATAACGCGCAACGCAAGTATGTGCCGAACGTCCCGCGGCTTAGGCAACTTTCACCGTGAGTCAAGTTTGACTCATTCATCGCTGTTCGCCGCGTGATTAACTTGGAAATAATTCGGTGACGTCAAACGTCGTTCGTCGCGGTCTCGGCCGCGTATTTTACAAAAGATGAACATGATACGACCACGAGTTGTCGTGATTTCGTCAAGGTGCACCGGTGAAACACGAGAAAATAGGCGTCTCTCACCGCCTGGGAACGTACCAATTTCTACGAACAGAATGAATCCGATTTAAAAGGCTCGCAGGCCAGTTTCTCTTTAACATAGAATTCCATTTAACGAATATTCAACTTCTTAATGTAAAACGTATTGTAAATTATTATTAATAAATCAGGTATCGTTGTAACTTGATATAAGTACAAGCATTATTTATTATTCTCGTGCGGTGCCGTATGACAGTAAGAAGAGCTGCCACACTCTTTCAGTATTAATTTATTTCACATTGCTATACTAGAATGTGATTAGATTCACCTTTTGTAGCTGACGCGTCATTAATGCAATCATGGGTCACTGTTATTCAGTATTCATCCAGACCACTAAGTCTTTTTTAGTTGCGTCGACCTTGTAACTCATGTTCTTGAATTTGAAACTCTAAACTTATTACAACGAAGTATTTTTTTTATAATTTTTTAATTGTATTTCATAGAAAAGAATTCGGCTTACAGAGCACTAATTAAACTATCATGGAATTGTAAATTGTACTATATCGCATTAACTAAATTGTAATTAAGTTAAGAAAATAGTTTGAGTCTGATATCACGTAGAATTCAACAGTGGGAGAAAAAAGCTTAGCATTAAAGGAGAAATGATAGGGCAGCGACGTGTCCCCAGTTGGTTCCCATGTCTTCCATCAGTTTTGACGAGTTTTTTGTTACGATGGAACACCCAGTACCGGGTGTCCGTTAATTTCTCTTAATTAAACTCAATCGAGGTTAATGCACCGCAGCTTGACCCTAGTTTACCAAATCCACCATAGCCTGAACTCGGTCTATGGTTTCTTTATCGATATTTCCACTATTATAGCGAATTCTTTCAAGAAATGCTTCTATATATAATCACAGCTTGAATGTGTGAATAGTATTTTTGAAACATGTGTAATAGAAATGAAATGTAATAGGAACTTATAGATATGAATAATTCATAATATTTAACGTTAATAATCAATTGAGAAGGCATCAGTTATTTAGTTAGGATGATACTCCCTTCGAGCGTCTTACGATGTTCTTAAATTCACCGGATGACCCACTTCCGTCGACTAAAGACACCCCATAAATAATAATCATGAATTTTATTGGTCACTTCATATTCATCTTATGTAGAATTCATTAATTTCCTTTAAATTCATATTGAAAACTTTTCTAAATGATCTGTAATTATACTTAGGTTCAATTATTCTTTAATCTTTGTTATAGGCCTCGGAAGTGGTCGAAATTGATTGAATCACGTAAAGTTGGGAAGAATTTAAAAATTTCGACATGGATAATCTAGAGACGTTATTACGCGTTTCTGGGAACGATACAGATAGCACCATAATCGATGTTGGAGCATCGAGGTACAACAATTGATTTTAACTTTCATTTGATTGGAAAAATGCCGATATATACATTTTAAGAATGTTGTAAATATATACAATTTTAATTATAGATTCCCTAAGCCATTGAGAACTTTCGCAGCCATAATCGCGATATTGATTATGATCACCGGTCTCGTCGGCAATTTGCTGACAATTATTGCCCTATGCAAATATCCCAAAGTACGCAACGTTGCGGCAGCTTTTATTATAAGGTATTTACATATTAATTTAGCTCAACCTTTTAATTAAACATTTTAAGTAGAACCACTTTTTCAATAAATTTTATAGTCTTTGCGTGGCAGACTTCGTGTTCTGCCTCCTGGTGTTGCCGTTCGACTCCATCAGATTCGTCGACGCGAGTTGGGCGGACGTGAGATTTCTGTGCGTTCTCGTACCATTTTTAAGGTATGGGAACGTTGGCGTGAGTCTTCTTTCCGTTGCAGCTATCACTATCAATAGGTACGAATGAAACTTCCTAAGTTTCTCAAATGAAAAAATAAAATCAAATGGATTTGATAAACAAATTCTATTTTTACTTAAGGTACATTATGATAGCTCATCACGGACTGTATAGCAAAGTTTATAAAAAACATTGGATCGCTATTATGATCGTGTTTTGTTGGATTTTCTCATATGGGATGCAAGTACCTTCTTTGTTGGGAGTTTGGGGTAGGACATAATATATTTATTTAATTTGATTTGTCATTAATAATTTTGTTAATTTATGATTTATTACGAATTATGATTAAAGATAAATATTTCTCACTTTTTAGGTAAATTCGATTACGATCCGAATCTGGACACTTGCTCCATCGTGAGAGACAGTAACGGACATACGTCGAAAACTTTTCTTTTCGTCACCGGGTTCGTCATACCCTGTTTAGTGATCGTCGGATGCTACACTAAAATATTTTGGGTGGTGCACAGGTAGACATTTAAATAATTTATCTATTCAATCGCAATAATATAAAATAAATGTATTGCTTATTGAAAGCTAAATATTTCTATTTATAGATCCGAGACGAGGATGCGAAAGCACGCAGCACCGACGATAAAATCTCCTCACACACCCGGAAGAGATACCAGAGAGATTAAACAAAGGCGTAGCGAATGGCGAATCACGAAGATGGTCCTCGCAATCTTTCTCAGCTTCGTCGCTTGTTACCTTCCAATCACTATCGTTAAAGTCGCTGACGTCGAAGTCAGATATCCAGGTACTATTTAATTAACTCGCCTGCTTTCATATATTAATTAATTAATTAATTACTTTGCTGTATTATATGACGCAATGATTTATTCCCTCAGCGTTTCACGTTCTGGGCTATCTTCTCCTGTATTTCGCGTCATGCGTGAACCCGATCATTTACGTGATCATGAACAAACAGTATAGGCAAGCGTACGCGGGCGTGATTGGGTGTTCCCGGATATGGCCGAGCCTAACGCCTTTCGGAAGTAGCGCGCCCGGTCATCATCAGCAGCAGCAGGACTACGGCCAAGGTAACTTCGAGCACCGTCGCGTGGTAACGCTCACCAAGCTCTGATCGAACGCGAGCTAATCGACCACACTTCGCTCACTTCGTAAGTCAAGGGCACAAATTCGCTGCTTTATAAGATTGCCATTGTTTTTTCTTCGCTACACTTTGTCCCTTGTCTGTGTCTCTTCTTATTGTTAATAACATTGACAGTTTTATGCTATTTAATTATATAC